ATTCCCCCCCCCCCCACAAGTCACGCACACAGATCTTGCTTCTCCCCAAGCAAGGTGCGGGGAGAATCTTTCCACCCACTGGGTGCTCCCAAGAGGTGCCAATGTATTAAAAAACCAGCAGCAGCAATAGAAATAAAAGCAAGAAATTTTGACAAGCAAAATCAGAATCTAACGCCCAACTTTCTTCCTACAGAAAATCTGAACGGAGGATCATAGTATCATAACATAACATAAAGGCAAATCATTTTCATCCCCTCCTGAGAACGGGGCAGGAGAATGCCACACGGAACGGAGTCTCTTCCTCGGGGGCCCCAGCCCACTGGCCGGCACAAAAGGGAGCACCCAACTTCTGCCGGCGGGTAGGAGATGAATAAAGGGAGCCGTGGCCCATCAGCACAGCAAGGACGTGGGCCGAAGCGAGAAAGAGAGCGCTCTCTTTTGTTCTTTCTTACCAAAAAGAGGCCGCAGTCGCATTGCTCCCCGTATTCCACAAAGCGGTTCCCGCAGAGGGACTTCACCAGGCGGTCTGGTTCGGGCCGGTCGAGGAGGCAGCCGATCCGATCGCTCCGCAGGATCCGTTGGACCCACTGCTGGCTGCAGGTGCTGAAACTCAACCCCGGCATGATCCTAGCGGAGGAAGGAAGGAAGGAAGGTTTTTCGGCACCATCCCCTCTTCGGAGGCGCGTGGATCTTGCTATCCCTCCGAGGGCAGAGGTAGAAAGATCGGACCCGAAGGGAGATTCAAGAGAGAAAGTCGTCTGGAGCAGTTGCTTCGGATGGGCTCCTTGTGGGCTCCGGGAAAGCAGCGGTCTTAGTCGTTTTTGGCAGAAAAACGTCCTTCCAAGAATATGGAGGTTTTTTTCCTACCAATTTTCACCCCATCAGTTGAAAAAGAATTGGCAAGGAGAAGAGAATGTTGGTGACATTCTCAAGGGCGGTGCGTGATATTTTTGAGCTTGGAGTGGGTAAGACGATCACCAATTGAATCCTCTCTCCAGCCTCTTAATTCCCACAAACCAGGGAAAACACCCCGCAGGAACTCCGGTGGGATTTTCTCGAACTGGGAAACACACAGCCCCCTGCCAAGGGATGGGAAAAAACCCACCGGGACGCCAGGAAAGGAAATTCTCCTCCGCTTCCCACCCTCCCGGAAGTGCCAAAACCTCCCTAGAAGAAATCGGCAAGAAATTCTCCAGCTCCCCGAACACAAGGTGGAAAAACAGAAGCCTCCTTCATGGGCAACGAAGACATTCGCACTCACCCCGTCGGGGGTTCCATGATGCATTTACGGCCCGGGGCACGGATGGAACTGTTGCAGCTGCAGCCGACCACATCGTGGACAAGGCCAAGGTTGTGCCCAAGTTGGTGCGAAAGAGTGGAAGCCATGATTAAAGGACTAACGGAATGGCCCTAGAAGGAAAGAAAGCAGGAATCGAGATTCAGGATTCAGGAAAGGGTGTGGTGTGGGCCCAGCCCCGTAAAGATGACCGGCTTCCGCACTGCAGGCCCTTCTTCCGTGCAAAGCTTTCAAGAGTTCTCCTGTCCACATAAAGAGTGAGCAAAGTTTCTCAATCGGGCAAAGAAAAATGCCCGGGACCTTCCACTCACCCATTTTTTTTTTTTAAAGCATGTTTTAAAGAAAACCGTTCCTTCCTGTAGGCTGGGGGATTTTCAGAAAACAAGAAGAGAGGAATTCCTCCCCCTGGCCACGCTGGAGAAGGTTTGCCCTGGGAAAAAATCCTCTTTGAAGGGCATGGTGCCAGTTTTAAAAGTAATTAAAAAAAAAAAGCAATCAAGATGGGCATAATTCATAAGCAGGTGGGTGATGAAGAAACAGACCTCCTGGTCTGAGCAGGTTGGACGAGGGGATGCTGCAGACACGGGGTTGCTTGAACGGGGCCAACCTTGAATAGAAAGCGGTTATCTTGGGTTTTCTTACGGCCATCCTGGGGGAGATGCTGGTTTACAAGCAGGAGTCTCTACTCAGGGGCTCTGCTACTACGAAAGCCTGGGGTGAGTGGATCGGATAGGCTCGCTTACTCTCAAGTTCTTAGCAGGAGCTAAGAGCCCCAAAGCAAGACGTCCTGAGTCTCCTTTAACCAGATTTATTGAAAGGGAAAAAGCGTCCAATTTTGGCGAGCGGATACCCTCCCTTTAGCACCCAATTTAGTGGGGATGCTCTGATCCTCTTGCTCACCCCCCCGTTGACGCACCGGGGGGAGCGGCTGAACGGGGAGGGCTTTGACCACGCTTGCAATCTTGGGCAACCCACCGTCCGCTCTCGTGGGCGCCGAGAGGCTTGTTCGACTCACCATGCTGATCCCACCGGAGCGCTTAGTGCAGATGGATCCCTGGGTAGACGCCCCGATGACGCCGGCGGTAAACGGGGGACCGCTGCGGCCGAAAAGGAAGCAGAGAGAGTGTGGGCGAGGGAAGGCAGAGTGAAGGTCAAGCTTTGCTGGGTGGCGCAGGGGAGGCTAGGGGGGTCTGCTAAAGTAATTTTAAGGGGCTGGAGGTTAGCGCCTTCGAGGGAAGGGCCCGTAATGGGGATTCTGGGCTTGGGCTTGGTGGGAGGGGTTACCCCACATTTAACCCATTGAGGAACCCCCCCATTGAGAATCTCACTGTAGCAGAGGGAAGGGACAGGGAGGAGGGGAAGAGCTGCCCAGTGGCTCCTCCCCCCAGCTTTGTAACACCCCCCTCTGTGTGGCTCCGCCCCCAGCCTCAGGGTTCCAACCCAAGCTGCTAGTCCTTTGGAAGGATTAATTCGTAGGCATCAGCCATGGATGACTGTAACCAATCCTGGCTTTACTTCTGTCCGTTTTGGGGTTTTTTCCTTCTTTTATCATTTTGTCTCTTTTTTCTTCCTTTTCGCATTTTGTGTTGTGTGTGTGCGCACGCCTTCGAGTCCGTGTGGACTCCTGGCGACGGCCTGGACAAGCCCCTGCATTTTCTGGGCAAGATTTCAGAAGTGCTTTGCCATTGCCTGCTTCCTAGGGCTGAGAGAGAGGGACTGGCTCAAGATCAACCAGATGGCTTCGTGCCTAAGGCAGAACTCGAACTCACAGCCTCCCGGTTTCTAGCCTGATGTCTTAACCCAGTGTTTCTCAACTTTGGCCACTTTCAGATGGGTGGACTTCAACACCCAGAATTCCCCAGCCTGCCATGGAATTCTGGGAGTTGGAGTCCACCCATCTGAAAGTGGCCAAGGTTGAGAAAACTGCTTTAACCACTACACCAAACTGTCTCTCTCTCTTTTTGCATTTAGCTAATTAAAAACATTTTTTTAAAAAAATCAAGCTGCTAGTCCTCTTGCTGATCAAAGACCCAGGATGCCCCTGGCTTCGCCTACTGCCACCCCACTATCGCGATGCATTCCCAGAGGTCCAACCTCGCTGGCATCTTACATAATGAGCTGGACGCTGTCGTGTGGGATCCGGGGCATTAAATCCTTCTCTTTCCACGCCAGGAACCGCGTGAGAACTTCTCCAGCGGTTCCCTCTGTTGACACCCGGTTGCGCTGGTTCCAGACTTCGGCGCCCACGAGGGCCACCCGCAGACCCAGCGTCCTGTAAAACTGGAACAGGGAGCAAAAGGAAGGAAAAAAACAGGTTTTGCACGGAGTAGTCCCCAATGAACCAATGGGGAGATATGGAGAAGGCTGACTTAGCACCGGGCTGGGAAACTTCTGCCCATGAGTCTAATCTGCTAACACTGCAGAGGAGGAGATTAAAAACAGAAGGCTGTTTTAAAAAATAAATATAGATATATATATATTATAGATATATATCTATATAGATATATATAGATATATATAGTGCCCTCTGGAGTAAGCTACGTTATGCAGAGTGCAGGAGAAAAATGCAATATAATGAAATGGCGATCCGAATTGCAAACGGTAACCAAAAATACCACCTGCCCCTTTGAAATAATAAAAAAGAAAAAAACGACCTGAATTGGGTTTTTTTTCCTGGGGGCAACCTGACTTTATAAAATCGGTGCCCAAGCAAAGTTATGACGTCCCCGCAGAATAACTCCAAGCCTTCGATCGCTCCGATGTTAGGCTAAGGAAAAAGGGAAGGTTCTGCCATCGGAATTGCTCCTCACCCCGTCCATGTGGCTGGCGATTTCCACGATGCGTGTCTGAATCCGGCTGACGTTAGGATCCAGCTGGAACTGAAAGGCACGAAGAATTGGTGGAGGCGGTGGGATAACTGGGGGATCAAAAGGGGGGGTTCTCAAAGAAGAGGGTGGACAAAATAGATCTGTGGGATTCCTGGGGAAATCAAACTCGCATCTACAGTGAGGAAGCTGGGGCGAGGAGAGGGAAAAAAGGGAGGGCTTGCTCACTGAGATCTAGCAACGTGAAATTTCAATGGACTCCAGTCTTCCCTTCCGTTAGCTCTGGGCTTTGCTTTTGGCAAAGGAGGCATTTAGATGCCTGCTAGTAATTACCGAGAAGCCTGCAAGGATTTGGGTGGGGGGTCAAATCTTGGAAAATTGGGGAGGGGGAAGACATCCCTCACCTCGGCTTGGTCGGCCACGATCACCAGTTCCACGTAGCCACGCTCAGTCTCCGCTTCTCTCTTTGCCTGGCAGGAAAAATGGAGCATTCAGACACGTGTTCATGGAAGCCTTTCTGGATTGAAAGATTGGGATTTCCAGCTCTGAGGCTGGACGGTCGCATGGTCAGTCCTAGAAGCGCATCCGTACCCGATGCAGCGGCGTCCGCTTCGGTTGTGGGTGAAACTGTCTGCTCGACCTGCAGGCCCCTGTGGATGTCTTGACTGTCTCGAGTCTGTAGGCCCTTGTGTCTCCATCTGGGGTAGATTCCAAGCTGTAGCTTCTAAACCTGGACACGGTGAGGAGGCCACTGGGTGATCAAAGAAAAGAAAAGGAAGAGGAGCCACGTTTAAAAGTGCAATATTTTAGCTTTGTTTGGGGTTCAAGGTGGTGGAATGACTCCTAGAAAGCACCAGAGAGGGCAATCGAGGCATGCTTTTTTGTCAGTTTTGGTGGACTGTTTTCCTCTTCCCTCCTCCCCCCCTTTTCCTTTCGCGTCTCCTGGAATGGAAAGACAAGAGTGGGAACTATCTTGCTTTGAATGGTCTGAAGATCGTTTTTTTTTTTAAAATCCTCTAAATAAATCAACAGAGGCCATCCCTTCATGCTTCCTAGAGCTCGGATGTCTACAAAGCATTATTTTAGGTGGCCTGGGGTTGAATGCAAATTCCACACAGGTTCAGTTCCAAGGCTACTCCAATTCCTGCATCAAAATGCTGCAGCGCACACCCACTGGTTGAGGATCATGGGCTTTGCAGTAGGATTGTCCTTGAGGCTCCTAGAAGGTCAGCGTACGCTGGGACTGTGATGCCTCGGAAGGAGAAAGAGAAAAAGAGAAGGAAGG